TGACTGACACCATCGTGCCTTTGATGGTGGGGAACGTTGAAGTCCAAACCACTCGTGCCGCAAAGTACCTTGGGGTCATGGTGGACAGCAAGCTCAGCTGGCGAGACCAGATCACCCGTACGGCGGACAAGGCCGCTAAAATGGTTTCTTCCCTTAGTCGGTTAATGGCCAATGTCGGAGGTCCACGGTCCAGCCGCAGAAGGCTGTTGATGTCTGCGGTCCAGTCCGTGCTCCTGTACGGTGCGGAAGTCTGGGCAGACGCTCTCAATAAGGAGGTATATAGGATGCGGCTCGCCCGAGTGCAGCGTCAGGCAGCACTAAGGGTAGCATCTGCCTATCGAACAGTGTCCGAACCCGCCGTCCTGGTGGTTGCTGGAGTCATCCCCGTCAAACTTTTGGCAGCGGAGAGGAAGGCAATTTATCAGCGCCGTGGGGAGGACCAGGCAAGAATTGAGGAACGCACCCGGACCTTCCAGCTGTGGCAGGAGAGCTGGGAACAGGAGACAAGGGGGCTCTGGACCAGGCGACTGATACAACAGGTCCAACCTTGGGTTAATCGGCGGTGCGGAGAGGTGAACTTCTACCTCACCCAATTTCTGACGGGTCACGGCTTTTTCCGGTCGTACCTGTTCAGGATGGGCAAAGCCGTGTCACCCGATTGCATATACTGCCCAGGCATTCCCGATGACGTGGAACACACTTTCTTCCACTGCCAGCATTGGGAAAGGCCCCGCCTAGAGGCTCAACAGTTCGTAGGACTGCTGTCGGTGGACACAGTCATACCGATGATGATGGAGGGTGAGGACATTTGGACCTGTGTGTCACTTTACATCCAGGGTGTTCTCCGCGCCAAGAAGCTTGACCTCGACCGGGATGCGGTGTAGGTCAAAAAATAAATAATGCCAGAAACGGTGCGAGCCCTGTGGGCTTAGGTCACATGTTGGCCTGACTTGAAGTAATGTGACAAACAATCCCAGGTCTGTGTCCGACAGAGTTGTTGGGGGCGTAATGGGTGAAAATGAAAATAATTAATAACTCGAAGGACCAGAACTAATTAATAGTTCAAGAGAAAAATAATTAAATTAGAGAAAATGGCGAATCTGCAATTTGAAGGGCACTGAGGTCCCGAGATGGAATAAAATGTCTTGTGAGGGGCAAATGAGATTAGTTTTAGAGTCTAATTAAAACACACACAAAACTTTAAGGTTGTACCTTGAGTCCAATTATCCAAAGGTGGAGAGTATGGCAGCGGCGTCGTCTATGGTGGAGCGATGGCGGATGGCGGAGTCCTTAGACCGAGTGCTTCTGTTTTGTAGAATTTTGGAGAACGCAACGCACCCAAGTTCATAATCACAAAGAGCTCACTAATACGCGGAAGTCGCGGTGAAAACGTACGGAAAGTCTAGAAGTAATACACGGACGCGCACACACTGTCTTGAGGTTTGAAGTGTCTGAAAGCACTAGATCACAATTTAAGTAATTTAATCACAAACAAAAGGGGGAAATTAAAATGTATATATAGTTAAATGTACTATAGAGGAGAGGGAGGCCAGATATAATTAATCTATAGCCTAAAAAATACGTTTAAGAGAGATAAAATGGGCAATTAATGTCCCGAGATACGAGAAACGGAATACACCGTGAGTTATGGACGCCGACCGTGGACAGACAGACGCCGATCGCCGGCTTCACACCTTGAAAAATGCAATTGCGGTTTAGAGGGGTCTAGGAATTCGATGGCCAATAGGAAATGCGATTGAAGCAAACACGGCGTCAGGTGATTCATGGGTATGTAGTACAGGAAAATAGGCCTTACTGTGGCGGGAAATTCGAGCAGGCTTAGCAATCTCATTTGAATATTGAAAGCGGGAGTCTATTTACAATAAATTGTTACTGAGACTAAATAATATTACAATAAATGTGGTGATTTATATACACATTAGCATGATTAATTAACCAGTGACTTAATTAACATAATGATTAATTTCTAAATAATCTAAAAATATGAATACCGAACATTCCGGCCCCCTTGAAGCATTACAGCTTCAACAGACAATTAATTAAAAAACACAAGAGCAAACGTAAACCACACTTAAATCTAATATGTACATAGAGTAGGTTTCTTGGACTTAGTCTTCATGGGAAGACCTTGTGAACAGGCCGTGTGAAAGTCCCAGAAGCTGTCTTCACTGTGACGACTCGAACTGTTCCATCAGCGCCAGGGTGAGTGGAGACGATGCGTCCAAGAGGCCAGGTGAGTGGAGGAGAATTGGAGTGAATGAGCACCAAGTCTCCGGTCTTCAAATTCTCATGAGGGGTGGTCCACTTGAATCGCTGCTGGAGGGAGTGGAGATATTCAAGCTGCCAACGCCTCCAGATACGCTGGTGAAAAGCCTGGACAAGCTGCCACTGACGAAGACGATTGAAGGGCACTTCAGACAGGTGAGGTTCCGGCAGGGCAACTAATGGAGCTCCGATGAGGAAATGTCCAGGGGTCAGCACAGAAATTTCGGAAGGGTCTGAACTAAGAGCTGTAAGAGGGCGCGAGTTTAGCATTGCCTCTACTTGAATGGACAAAGTTTGAAATTGGGTTAAAGTTAAAATGGTTTCACCAATTACCCGTTTCAGATGGTATTTTGCACTTTTAACGGCACTTTCCCATAAGCCACCTTGATGAGGTGCAGAGGGGGGGTTGAAATGGAAGTTAATTCCTTTGGGGGTGGTGAAATGAACAATTTTGTCCTGCGAATCAGGTGTAAGGATGGTTTCACGGATTACCTTGCGTAATTCCGAGTTTGCACCAACAAAGTTGGTTCCGCAGTCAGAATACAGATCGGAACAGAGTCCGCGTCTCGACACAAAACGTGTGAGAGCGGCAATGAAGCCTGAGGTGGTAAGATCGGTGACTACCTCTATATGAATAGCTTTGGTAGCCATGCAGATAAAAATACACAAATAGACCTTAATCTTTCTAAGAGCTTTGAGACTGCAAACGCGAACACTAAATGGTCCGGCGTAATCTACGCCTGTAGATGAGAATGGACGAGTAGGATTGACCCGATGAGCAGGTAAATCACCCATTAGAGGGATTTTGTTTCGTGGTTTATTTTTAAAGCACACAAGACACTTAAATATGCGCGAGCGGATAACGGATAAATGTACTATAGAGGAGAGGGAGGCCAGATATAATTAATCTATAGCCTAAAAAATACGTTTAAGAGAGGTAAAATGGGCAATTAATGTCCCGAGATACGAGAAACGGAATACACCGTGAGTTATGGACGCCGACCGTGGACAGACAGACGCCGATCGCCGGCTTCACACCTTGAAAAATGCAATTGCGGTTTAGAGGGGTCTAGGAATTCGATGGCCAATAGGAAATGCGATTGAAGCAAACACGGCGTCAGGTGATTCATGGGTATGTAGTACAGGAAAATAGGCCTTACTGTGGCGGGAAATTCGAGCAGGCTTAGCAATCTCATTTGAATATTGAAAGCGGGAGTCTATTTACAATAAATTGTTACTGAGACTAAATAATATTACAATAAATGTGGTGATTTATATACACATTAGCATGATTAATTAACCAGTGACTTAATTAACATAATGATTAATTTCTAAATAATCTAAAAATATGAATACCGAACAAGAGTAGAGGGGGTTTTTTAGTGAGTAGTCTGTGACAAACTCAGGAGTCTCACACTACAGGCTGGCTACCTGTGTGCGTAAAAGCATTTTCCCTCCTCACCCTAAAAAAAAAAAAAAAACTTGAGTTAAGTAACTTTAATGGGTTTGGACCGCTTTCCCTTAAAAGTGTTTGACTTCATTACAAAAATGCCACTGGCGTATATACGAGCAAAAAAAAAAAAAAAAAAAAAAAAAAAGTACTGTAGGACTATTTTATAAACGGTATCAAAGTCCATCTGCTTTCACAAATCAAATTATTGCATATTGTAGGCCTAATACTGATTTTGGTCTCATGTCGTCGTGAGTGATTTTGTTTGTTTAGCATCAAATGTAAACAGCTAACTTAACAGCTGTTTCCACTCCACAAACCTTCCTCCCCTTTTAGTGTTAGTCGCTGCTAGGGGTACAGTTTCTTAACTGGGCTACGCTAATATCGATTGAAACCATTCAAATTGAAAATATTAATTAATAGGGTAAGTGATATTTTAAAATACCTATAACTATTATACAAACTATCATAACCTAACCTAACCAACCAAACTTACTGATGGTGAATAAATGGCTGCACTTTACTTGACGTCCTACACTCATTCGATTGGTTTTTTCGATTCGATATTTTCATTCGATATATCGTTTGGTTAGTTAGGTTAGGTTAACCTTACCTAACTAACCAAACGATATATCGAATGAAGCAATCGATTAATCGATATATCGATCGATATTTTCATTCGAATGAGTGCAGGACGTCAAGTAAAGTGCAGCCGAAAAAATCGCATGAAGGTTTACTAATCGAATCGATAGTTTTAATAGATATCACAGTAGCCCAGTTAAGAAACTGTAACTTACCCGCCGCTAGAACTTGGACTCGTCCAAACCCCAAATAGGAATAACTCAGCGAAACTGAAGCTTGATAAGCTATTAATTATTTAATTGTACGGCCACTTAGGAACCTCTCCGGCAAAAACTGATTGCATTTTTGGATTCTGCGTGAAAAAGCTCGGGTACAGTTTCTTAAATGGGCTATGCTAATATCGATTGAAACTATCGATTCGATAAGTAAACCTTCATGCGATTTTTTCACCCATCAGCAAGTTTGTTGGTTAGGTTAGGTTAGTTTTATTTTATAATAGATATATTTAAAAATATCGATTATTAATCAATATTTTCAATTCGATAGTTTCAATCAATCTTAGCATAGGCCTTGCCCAGTTAAGAAACTGTACCCAAATCTCTTGGTAGACATCTAAAAATTACATCATATCCCAGTGTAGACATGTTAAATAATTACCCCTTTAAAATGTGAGTAGGCCTACCTCTGAAGTTCTGTGGAGTCTCTCCATAGTGAAGGGATTTGTGTCATTTCCATTGTACCAAGAGTAGCCAAATCTCCAGTCATCTTCGGGTCATTAAAAGGTACAGGTTCTGGTCTAACCCATTTTATTTTCAAAGCAGACTTGAAATCTCTTCTGTTTTGTAATGAAAATGATGTAAACTTGTGGCTGCAAATCAAAGTTTTAGTTGGCCTACCAAGTAACGATGCCATTATTAGAGGCAAAACCTAAAGAAAATGCCAAAATACTAATATACTAATTCAAAACATAATACATTTTTTAAATCTAGAGCCAAGACTGAACTATGAACTAATACAATTATTTAATATAAGTATGAATTGAATAAAAATCTAAAATCTGAAGTCTGAAGCAGACAGATTAGCTAGCCTAGCAAACGGCAGACAGAAATAATTAAAATTGCAGCAGGAGCAGAGAGCAGAGCACTGAAGCAGTAAAGCTGAAGCAGAACCTTCAAGCTTGGAATGGAAGCTTACAAACCGTCGTGAAGTTATCGGATCTTTTCATCGGCGCTTTTTCGGATTGTAATAGATATGGGTTGGTATGCCTGCGGACGCCACAAACGTGTTTTGCAGGGATGTCGGAAACTCAATTCAATGACAATAAGGTGCGAAAATGATGTTTTTACATTTATATAATGTCAATTATACCTTGATAAAACGTGTATACACGTTAAAACTAATTAATTGACGTATTTTAAAAGGCATATTTGAGACCGTACTGTACATTATACGTAGCTATGGCTTAACATAACGCGATCAATTAAAACTCTAAACATAAAAAAGTGCATAATCTTTTTCCTAAGCCCATTACATCAACTTTGAGGTATTCTAATGGTAATATACAATGTGTAGAATACTCAGTATAAATATGATTGAGGCAGTCCAGTAAATTACGAAGCTATAAGGCAACATCTATATGGTTGATAGAAAATTGCGTCAGGAAAAAGTGCACAATCTTTTTCCTAAGCCAATCACATCAACTTTGAGGTATTCTAATGGTAATATACACATTGTATATTACCATTAGATTACCTCAAAGTTGATGTGATGGACTTAGGGTCAAATTGTGCACATTTTCCTGATGCGAGTTCCTATCAACCATATACATTTTGCCATATAACTTCGTAATTTAGGGGACTGCCTCAATCATATTTATACTGAGTATTCTACACATTGTTTATTACCATTAGAATACCTCAAAGTTGATGTGACTGGCTTAGGAAAAAGATTGTGCACTTTTTCCTGACGCAAATTCCTATCAACCATATAGATTTTGCCTTATAGCTTCGTAATTTACTGGACTGCCTCAATCATATTTATACTGAGTATTCTACACATTGTATATTACCATTAGAATACCTCAAAGTTGATGTGATGGGCTTAGGAAAAAGATTATGATTGTGCACTTTTTTATGTTCGGAGTTTTAATTGATCGCGTTATGTTAAGCCATAGCTACGTATAATGTACAGTACGGTCTCAAATATGCCTTTTAAAATACATCAATTAATTAGTTTTAACGTGTATACACGTTTTATCAAGGTATAATTGACATTATATAAATGTAAAAACATCATTTCGCACCGTATTGTCATTGAATTGTGTTTCCGACATCCCTGCAAAACACGTTTGTGGCGTCCGCAGGCGTACCAACCCATATCTATTATAATCCGAAAAAGCGCCGATGAAAAGAGCCGCTAACTTCACCACGGTCTAATACCGAGAGTCTCTTGTTTTGTTAGTATGATTCGATGGGTGGATTGTGGGTTACATATAAACGACAGCCATGATCCATCAGCGCTGAAATCTCATTCACTGTCGGCTATATGGGAATATTTCAGTTTTGAAATATGAAATGTCGACCATATGGGACCCCACTGGTTCGATCCAATTCAACTTTACTCCACAGCCTCATGACAAAAAAACCAGGTCACTTTTCGTGGTCTTAAGAAGAAGAACACACCATGCCCTTTTTTCTTTTTGCTGTTTGCGACGTTTGCGTTTTCTTAAGCCCCCCACACACTACCAGACCAGACCTCCAGTCTCCAGCAGACCGTCTGGTCTGGCGTCTGGCACTTGTCTTATAGTGTATGGGACTGTCTGCAGACCGATTTTCTCGGACCAGACTGTCTGCGTGTCTGATGGTTGAACCCTCAGACCACAGACGGTCTGAGGTTCCCCCACCACTATTTTTGTCTGGTCTGTGAGTGTGTAGCGCTGTCTGTCAGACGACCGATCGTCTCGTCGCTACAGTATTCATCCATTTGTTAGAGTTCTCACCACGGTCTCTCAATTACGAATGTTAGACCGTCTGGTCTGGGAGTGTGTAGAGCCGTCCAAGACGGTCTGGTTGCAGCCAGACGGTCTGGTCTGGAGGTCTGGTCTGGTAGTGTGTGGGGGGCTTTATCTAATAACCTCAAACAAAACGTAATCGTAATCATTCATTATCCCTCCTCCACATAAATTCTGAACCTTCAGTTTAGTTCAAACAGTTTTGTGATATTCTTACAGAATGAGTACAGCTCACTAGCTCAATTTTAAAGGTAATATTTACTAACTAGGCATAAAACCCTCCACTTGAGCCATTTGAATGCGTTCTCAGTAGGCTTAGGTAGCCTATTTAACTATATCTACAGTATTAAATCCTTTACTGTTGGCCTTGGCAAGACTAGGATTTGTGTGTTTACCAAAATCCTTGGCCCATTTATTTCAAACAATTTTCAAAGTAGTAGGCCTACCGGTGCTTAGGCATATGAAGGCCTAAGTTATGGCTGCACTTTACTTTAGGTCCTACACTCATTCGAATGAAAATATCGATTATTCAATTGTTTCATTCGATATATCGTTTGGTTACAATCGATTAATTGATATATCGATCGATATATTCATTCGAATGAGTGTAGGCCTAGGACCTAAAAAGTAAAGTGCAGCCGTAGTTGTTAGTGCCGGCTTCCAACAGCCGAATTTGCAGATTTAGGAATGGATTACCATAACCCTACTGAAGAACGCAATCTTGTCCAACCATTAACATTAACATAGGATGGGTCAGATAATCTAGGTACGTAACTTACGTTACTCTATATTATCATAGGCTCTAACTTGAGATGATCATCGATAAGTTTAATTCAACCATCGATGTATTGATAACTTAAAACGTTGCGAAAACATCAACGTTATCGGGGCTTATTTTTTTAAGCTTTTTGTCTGCTCTCTCTGCTACAATAGGCCTAGCTAATTAATGCAATTCAGTCATGGAAAACATCAATATTTCAATAACTTACCTTTGGTAGGCCTACTTGGTCAAAAACATCGATGTTCGACAAAAACATTGGTAGGGTAAGTTAAACTCTACTATCGAAGTAAAAAACATGGAACATCGACAGAAAACATTGATGTTTCGAAAACATCTACTGTTGATGCTCATTCCTAAGGTTATCCAAACAAAAATTCTTTTAAGAGATTGAGCGATAAACTTAAGTTTAATTAAGCCTATCCTAGTCACTACTGACAGCCTTTCATTGCCTGTTATTGCTTGCCGTATTTATAGCTTGTATTTATAGCCTTTCATTGCCTGTTATTGATTGTTTTTTTGTCAGCATTGCCTGTTATTATTGTCTGTTGTTTTTCCTTAAATAACATACTTACTCAAAGTTTTTTCAAGTTCAGTTTTGTTTATTATTAATTGCATTAGTAATGTAGTGTCGTCATAAATTATGCCATCTTGTAATTGATTACGCTAACCACTATTGTATAAATGGTGTTACCGTGTATAAATAAATAAATAAATAAATACTTATAGAATTGACGGTTGACCATCCTAAATTCACTGTGACTTTGTACAGTGAGTTCGACTAGGTAGATTAAGTTATTAAAACTGAAGATTCAACTTCAGAAACACTGGTTAAGTTATTACAAAATTAAAATGAGCCATATTTATATAAACTTTCATTGAATCTTTGAAGACCACTTAAAATAATATTTTCAATTCTTCAAAATAGACCTAATTCAAGTAAATGGTGAGGGTACTTACTTGATACTTGATACTTACTTAGGCCTACTTGATAGGTACTTGGTTTCTTCTTTGACCAACAAAAACTAATGAAAGACTACAGTGCTAAAGTTAAGGAAGCGAAGAAAGTCAGCAATGTAAACAAAATATTGAAGGCGTCCAATACTTGTAAGGCTGCGTAGGATGTCGTAAATGAGCACAGGAGGAACAACCCTGGCCCTAAGATAACTGCATCCCCTGATGTTTTTAATGACTATTTTGTCAGGATAGCTGATGATATCATCAACAACCTCTCCTTGTTGCAGCATGAAGATCCGGTTGTTGCAGTCACTGATTATGCCACTAACCACACACTAACAAGTTGGACTGAGGTGAGTGAACGTTCCCTAAGTTTAGTGAAGGGCTTTAAAAACTCTGACAGCCAAGATGTAAATGGTATCTCCTGTTCTATACTAAAAGGTATTATACATCTGATATGTGCACTGCCAACTAAGCTAATTAACTTGTGCTTATTAATAGGGTCCTTTCCTGATGTCCTAAAAGTAGCTAGGACCATCCCAATCTTTAAATAGGGAGTTCCCTCAGATCTGTCTAACTACCGCCCCATATCTATCTTGCCGGTGTTCTCTAAGGTACTTGAGACTGTAATGAAGAGGCAGCTGATTAAATATTTTGAAGGTAACAACTTGCTTTCGGATGCCCAGCACGGCTTCCGAAGCGGGCGCTCAACTACTACAGCCCTAATGAATCTGACTGACCTCATCTCAGATGCCTTCGAGTGCCATGACTCAGTCATGCTGAGGTTATGCGATCTGAGTAAGGCGTTCGATGTTGTTTCCCATAACATCCTTCTAGGGAAACTAAAAAAAAATATGGTATTGGTGGTGCAGTGTTGTGCTCTCTGCAGAATTATTAAGGAAATTGTAGGCAATCTGTATCAGTGAACGGAGTTTCATCAAATGTCCAAGTTGTTTCCCATGGCGTTCCTCAAGGTTCGGTGTTAGGCCCTCTACTGTTTAGCATCATGATACAAGATACAAGAATACTTTATTTACAATCTTTAAGCGATAAACGACCTTTGGCTAAACGGCTGCACCCTCCTCTTTGCAGACGACACCACCTTGGTGACTAGAGGGAAAGACATTAACCTGTTGAGGGATACAGCGGACGAGTTGCTTGTTGAGGCTAAGTCCTGGTTTGTTGCTAATCGCTTAAAAATAAATTAAGAAAAGACACAATCATTGATGTGCACCCTCAAGTCGAGGACTGATCATGGGGAAGCCGTGAAGTTGCTTGGGTTTTGGCTGGACTCTAGGCTAAACTGGTCTAACCACATTGATAGGGTATGTGTTAGGTTATCTAGAGTTCTCTATCTACTAAGGAAACTCCAAGATGAAGTCACTAAGACCTATCTGATAACCATATACCATGCCTTTTTTCATAGCCATTTGATGTACGGAATAGTGCTCTGGGGACACTCCCCTGCATGCCATGAAATACTTCTGTTACAAAAAAAAGCTGTGAGGTTGATAACATCTAAAGGCCCTAGAGAACATTGCCGACCCATCTTCAGAGAATTGGAAATCCTCTCAGTGGTGAGCCAGTTTTTACTCAATAGTCTGGTCTTGCTAAAGGAGAACCTTAGTGATTTTGTGACCCGTGGTGATAGACATGAGTACTTGAATACTTACTTACTTGAATACTTGATTCCTTTATCTTTGACCAACAAAAGTTGGATAGATTGCGTCAAAAAAAAGAGTAAACTTATAAAACACTATAAACATATATATATACAATTTAATCTGAACTGACGGATGTGACTCGGATTTTTGGAAAGGCGAGTGGTTCGTCAATCAGTTCCTTGATCGAGTACAGGGGCCTACTATGGAATAAGAAGGGCTCATGACCTGGATATGCCTCGCTGCCGCTTGAGCCATACCTTAAGGAGATACCCTCGCTCGGCTAGCGTTTACTTAAATCGCTTTTTATCAGAATCAGAATACTTTATTCTTGAACATAGAGTACAGAATAGGCGTCAAACATTACAGAGATTTAATTATAAAATAGCGTAAAGTTGTTGGGCTTTGAGGCGCTGTCGGTAGTGATGGTTATTACTATGAGGGTTGTTTAATCCTCACTGGAACATCGGTGAAGTTCTCCAATTCATGAACTCCTCAACTGTGTAGAATGGTCTCTCCACAAGCCAAGCCGATAAGCGTTGTCTGGTGCTGCTTATGCTGGGGCCTTTTATTGTCTCTGGGAGCAGGTTCAGGAACTCCGCTCCCATGTAGGAAGACTTTTCTTCAAAAAGAGTTAGATGATGGACTGGAAGTGTGTAATTCATAGCCTCTCGGGTGTTATGGCTGTGCCTATCCGTACCTCGTTGGAGCTGTAGCCTGCTTGCGTGATTAGCCACAGCTAGGATGTACAGGCTTGTAATCGTTAGGATTTTTAGCTCACGGAATTTCGGTCTGTGACTTTCTCTCTTGTCCATGTCTGCTAATATTCTTACTGCTTTTTTCTGGTGGATAAGCACACGTTGGAGGTTGGTTGCCGATGAGTTTCCCCATACTTCAAGGCCATATCGAAGATGTGATTCAAACAGTGAGTGGTAGGCAATCTTGGCTATGTTGGTGTCACTTATGGTTTTTATCCTTCTTATCAGGTAGACACTGCTATTCAGCTTACTACACAGGCTGTCAATATGGGGGGTCCATGTCAGTTTCTGGTCTATTATTAAACCTAATAGCACAAACTCCTTTTGGCAGCGTATTAAAAAGCCGAATATCAAGCCATGGGTGGAAGTTCAGACTGTGACTGATTTGGCAACGGGGCAGGTCAAGATCACATGCTCTGCACGTCGCGTAATCATGCTGCACGTCTCTAGTCATGAACGATGACTCATTTTCTTTCAGGAGAGCTAGGATGTTAGGCACATATTGGCTATGTATGGTCAGGATACCAAGCTCCTTGAAAATTGGCCGACAATGGTCAGTTGTACTCGACGATATTATTATTCGTACAGCCTTCTTTTGAAGTAGCAGAACTTTGGGTGGCGGGGCTATGCCCCCACAGCGCCAGACCATAGTTTATATGGCTATGGAAGAGAGAGTGGTAGTTCCTATCTTTATAGGGTTGGATAAGAGCCTTAAAAAAATAAAACCTTGCCAGTCTTGAAATGACTTTAAACTTCGCAGTCCCATTATGTTATAAGAAATTTATGATTAGGTAACTTACCTAAGCTAATATATAAATCATATTTAAGTTTGAATCGTAAATTATTCAGGCCAACTAAATTCATATGACTAATGTCTCTGTCTGTCATATTTCCGTCATCGTGAACCAAGTGATAGCGCAAAAAATGTGTAGGCCTAAAATAAAGTTCAAAATAAAAAATAATTAATTTATATTTTGAAAACATTTTGTAAGTATAATGGATATTGAGCTTGAAGACCTATATTAGATGGACTGCACAAATGCACACCTAACATAAACTTTAAAAAGGTACAAATTTGTGGCTTAATAATTTCATTTTCATTTTTTTACAGGATAAAAACGCTAAGGCCCTGACGTTGAACCATGCGGTACTAAATAAATTGCAAGAAAATAACATCAGAAGTTAAGATAGGTAATTTGGAGGAAGAAGCAATCAAAAGGAAAGAAAGGTTAAACAATTTGAAGAGGAAAGTTGAAGACCATGATAAAGAAGAGAGCAAACCAACTTCAGAGATCGGCACGCTGCCTAAGTAAGTGAAATGAATCGAACTTTTAAATCTCTTCAGTGTAGACCTAGGTTTAAGATAGCCTACTTAAATCATCTTAGATAACTGGGTAATAACTATTCACTGTTACATCACTTTCAGAAATTTGTTTGTTGTTTGTTGCTCAGTTCTTAATATCTTGTCACCAAGACCGACAATCCTAATAAGGACTGGATAAAAAATGTTACTACCTTAACCATCTTCAGTCTTAAGCTGGGTTTTCCTACGCCCGGAATGCGAGAGGCAGAGTCCATGCTCCTCTTGTCTCAGCTATTTTGCTATTTTAATAGAACTGTTTTCCTTGAAGCGAAGCGGACCGCCATTAAAATCGCTTTCTCCGCGCACTGCTTCTGAGCCTTGGAAAACCCATCTTGAATATCATTGACTATTGGATACACAATTAGACATCCCATCTATATAGAACAGCTGTTGCCAATTTTTTACTAAAAAGAACATAGCCTAGTTATGTGAGCCAGTCACAGAATGCGCTAGGGGCTATAATTCCATTTTCCACCTATTTTATTGTTGCTGACCAAGTTGATGGGTCACAACAGTCGCTATAGCTCACCATAAGTCATTCTATTAGTTTGACTTGTTGAAAAGTCTGTCTATTTGACAGAAATATAGTGATTTAGATCAGCGCAATCAATCGTTGGTTCACACCAACTAGCCTACAATGATTTTGATTAAAAAACTGGTGTAATCAAGTATTTTATTGGTCGTTAAATAATCATTGATTACAATACAATTTGATTACAGTTGGTGACAACTTTAACGTGGGAATGTGATGTCTAGTTGTATTAATAGTCAATGATAGTATATTCAGAGTATTCACCAGCTAGTTTTAGCTCTAATACAATACAATACAATACAATATTCTTTATTGTTAATTCGTCAAGAATTACAATAGTGTCAATACAATAGTGAATTGTACATGTTAATTTTCATTAATTACTCATTGCCAAATCCAACATTAAATTAAAAATCTATAAAATCAAACATTTAAACAAACTGTTCTATTTCTTTTTTAGATAAAAATTAAAAGATCAAAAGAAACTAAATTGTTTTTAATCAAGACACTAATACAAGACAATATTATTAAAGAAAGTAAATAAAAACATATGGTTAAATATTAATTAAATAACCATAGAGGTTAAACATCTTTCCCTTTCAGTTTCTTTTCAGAGTTTAGTCAGGAAAACGTTTCGTAGGTCTTATAATTCTGCCTATAATTCCGCCTATAATTCCTAAGACTTCCTCTACTTTACTATCACCATTTCATCTCTTCAAAACATTAATTCACTCCTATATACGATATAATTTAGATATCGCATATAGGCGTGAATAAACCAAAAAGTTGCCCCCTGGTGGGGTTTGAAAATGAAATTTAATAACTTTAATCTGACTACTGAGGACAAATCACAGAGCCGCACAGTGGAATTAAGATGTTAAATGTGAGCCCTTGTAATTAAGTAGGCCTACCCCAGAAGTCCGATTGATGGACCATGAGAGATCTGATATGAGTCCTCCTATAATTTACCTTCGAACAATGATCTTACAAAGCCACTACCAGTTGCACGATGGCCAATATCTCAGCGCTGTCCCATGACG